GACACACAGAAACCCCATATGGCTGAAACAAAGGACTTAAATTTAAAACTATTTAAGACCAATCCCAATCAAAGCCTACTGTGCAAGCAAAAAATATTTAGTGGAGGTTACGCACGGCACTTTTAGTATAGCGTCTTCCTCTAATACGGTTCATCTGCTGTGGAAGTGAGGGACTAGTGCTGCACATCTGTAGAATTGAAATTTTAGTTCCACTGACTTTACGGAACCTAAATCAGCTGAAATCTGGCTTCATCAGCACTGTGACCTCTGTGTGTCTGAATTCAAGCTGTTCAATAATTGCTTTGTTTTGTTCTTAGTGCTTAGAGGCTCTGTAAATAAATTTGCTGATGTTTTTCAATTCTGATTTGCTTACCTTCTCTTGCAGAGGATATTTTCCTTGTATTGGCACTTTTCTGCATTCACATATGTTCACCATGTGGTAGAAGAGAGACTAAAACTACCAAGTAATGTAAAACAATACCCTTTGCTAGTGCTCCCTAAATTATAAAGCACCATCATAAGAATGGTGTCATCTTATTTAAAACATTCCTATTGCTCCTTTCCACAATTCAGTCACTAAGTACTATTTTCTACAACAAAGTCAGTAAATGTTACAGTTATGGGGATTAGTCCTCCCAGAGGCTCTGGGTTTTATTTTTCAATTCAGAAGAGCAACTTTCTCCCTCCCACATCAGGTTTCCACTTGTATGGAAATACTAATATGGCGGTGCTATCAAACAAGTTGTCTTCCATGCTCATGCTGAGGTAGTAAGAACCTTGTTAATGGGTGTTACTGTGCTGCACCCAAACTTTTGCAAAAGTTCTCATTTTGGTCCATTTTTATGTGCTGTCATCTATGTGTGGGGCTGATTACAATGCATCAGTACAGGCCAGGGTAGTGTGTGTGTGTGTGGGGGGGGGGGGGGGAGAACCATCTGGGAGGTTGTTTGTAGGAATGTCTATCAACTCATTTTAGGCAGTACAATGACCCAGAAATGAGGATAACTTTCCTCAGCTTGTTAAGATCTGTCCAATTCTGTATGAAGAATGTAATTAGTTCCATTTCTGAAAACACTTCCCACTGTTTTATTCACACAGAAACACACCACCCCAAGTTTCAGGCAGCCTGCTATACAACCCACTTATCTTGAACTATTTCAGCTGATGCTAACTTGGATTCACTGACTTGAATGTAACTCTCTACAGGCTTTAATCCAAGGACTTAAACTAATCTAGTTTGCAGAGCTAGCTGATGTTTAGCAGAGAAACATCTACTCCCCCCTCCTCAAAAGCCAGTCTCTAAAGAATTATCTGTTACTGCAGTACTAATAATACTTCGACTCCCACCGAGCGTTTTCAGTGTTTTAATTAACAGCACATTACTTGACAAATAATTCCATATGTATGTTCTGTAAACAGACCTCAGGCTTCCATACAGATTTGACCTGAAATGCACCATACTGTACTGTGTCTTCACGAATAAGCCAGTCAAGTACAAAGAGGCACATTTATATGCGGCCTCTCACACACTGAGGCCAAAGATTCTGAGCACAGCATGTGCGGCAAAAGTGTATTTTCCCTGCTGCATCATAAGCAGAGGAGCTTGCTTGCTTTTGCAATGTAATATAGCAGCTTTTAAATGGATGATTAACAATAGGCTGTCCTCCTGTATTAGACTGTGGTTTCACAATATAGAAGCTGAACTAAAATCCCATAAGACAATGGATTGGGAATTTTGTCAAAAATACTGCATTTAAATTAGTACCAAATTCTAAAATGCTTCTCTGACAGATTCAAAGTAATTTTTGTAATGTCTTTGGAAAGTTGGATGGTACTAGCCCCAAAGGGAACAATACCAAAGACCTCCATTAGACTCCACAGAGGGCTACTGAAAATGGCAACTGACATGGAAAGGAGGGCAGCAGGAACATTTGAAAATGTGGTTTCAGATTTGAAGATCTATAGAACCCACAATGATATTGTTATATTTCCAAAGAAATCTAGTTCAACCGTTTAAATTGGTCTGCCCTACTCACAAGGTTATGTCTGAACACAGTTCATAAATTTTTCTGATAAGGAATGGTTTAAACCATCCGATGACTCAAAGGCAGCATGTTTTTCCCCAGTTTATAAACAGGTCTAATCTTTGAAAAGGGGGGTGGGGGGGAGAACAGCCAGCATGGCAACAAGACATGACGTGGTCATCAGGGTGATTTCAACTTCCCTGATATTTGCTGGGAGACACACTCAGTCAAACACAGCCCTTCCAAAAGATTCTTCACATGTGTATCTAATAACTTTTTCCAGCAGAAAGTGGAGGTAATGATAATCAACAAAGATGATCTGGTAGATAGAGTAACAACCAGGTGAAAGTGAAGAAGATGGCAAGTGTCTGCTGTAGCCAAACACATATCCTTGACTTCAAAAGGGCCAATTTTTAAAAATTCAAGTCAGTGATAAGTAAAATCCCCTGGCAATTCACCCTAGAATAGAGAGGAGTCCATGAATTAAAAAAAATCTTACAGTTCAACAACTAATCCCAACAAAGAAAAAGATTAGAAAACTACAAAATAAAAACAAAAACCCCATCATGGCTCCATAAAAGTAAGGAGACAACTTAAATGCTAAGAAGAACATGTACAGGAACTGGAAAAAAGGTCAAACCTCAAAAGAAGAGTATAAACAGACAGCAGAGACTTGCAGGGATGAAATCAGGAAGGCTAAAGTGAGTTTTGAACTGAGACGAGCAAAGCATGCTAAAAATAATAAAACCTTCTTCAGCTATGTACAAAATAACAAACAAAAGAGAAAGATGTACAGCAGCACATCAAGGATGTCAAAACGATAGCTGATGACAAGGAAAAGGCAGAGGTGCTTAACGCCTACTTTGGCTCAGCCTTTGCCCTCAAAAGAAAGGTGACCTGCCTAAAGAGGAGGAATCACAAAATGAAAGGGAAGGATAGCAGCCTAAGATCAACAGGCAAATGGTCAAGGAGCACCTTGAAGAGCCAGATGCATTCAAATTTCCAGGGCCTGATGGGCTCTTTCCTAGAATATTAAAGGAACTGGCTCAAGAGCTCTCTAAGTTACTGTATATAATATTTGAGAAATCTTGGAGAACAGGGGAAGTGCTGGATGACTGGAGGAGAGCTGATGTACAAAAAAGGGAAAAAAGAAGAACTGAGGAACCATAGGCCAGTCTAACTTCAATCACTGGGAAATTACTGGAGCAAATCATTAAATAAAAATCAGTCTGTACGCACCTTGAAGAAAAACAGAAGCCAACTCATATTTCTTAAATGTCATACAAAACCAACCTAATCTCATTCTTCAACTAGGTTACCACACAAATGGATAGAGGAAATGCAGTGGACATAATTTACCTAGACGTTAGTGAAGCCTTTGACAACATCCTAATAAACAAATTAGCAAAATGTGGGCTTGACGGAAAGTAAAGTTGCTTACCTGTAACTGTTGTTCTTCAAGTGGTCATCTGTGCATTCATAGACATAGGTGCAGCACCTGTATGTGCAATGCACGGAGATCTCAAAGAAGAACTACTATTAGGTGGATCCACCACTGGCCTCAAAAAGGGTCACAGAGAGTGGTCATCAATGGTAGCTTCTCAATCTGAAGAGAAGTTATGAGTGGGGTACCGCACAACTCTGTCCTGGGACCAATACTCTTCAACATCTTTATTAATGATCTTGATGAGAAAATCCAGGGAACAATAATTAATTCTGCAGATTGTACTAAACTGGGTGGAATAGCTAACACCCTGGAAGGCAAAAAGAAGATCCAGGGGACCTAGACAAGCTTGAATGCTGGTCAGAAAACAACAGAATGAAATTCAACAGGGATCAATGCTAAGTTCTCCAGCTAGGCAAACAAAAATTTTAAGAAATCAGCTGCATCGATACAAAACAGGGAATACTTGGCTCAAGAGTACTGAGACTGAAAGGGACTTTGGAGTTGTTGTACACAACAGACTAAATATGTGCCAGCAGTGTGATGCAGCCACAAAAAAGGCAAACACTATTTTGGGATGCATAAATAGAGTATCACTTCCAGAAAATGAGAAGTACTGATTCCCCTCTACTCTGCAGTAATAAGACTTCACCTGGAATGCAGCCCATATTTTAAAAGAATGCTGATAATCTAGAGAGGGTTCAGATGAGGGCAACAAAGATGATGCAAGGCCTGAAAAATAAATCCTATGATAAAACGCTGAAAGAACTGAGCCTGCTTGGCCTTAAGAAAAAAAGATACGAGGTTTCACAAAGAAGAAGGAAAATACCTCTTCTCACTTATCCAAGATTGTAGGACATGGAACAATGAACTTAAACTACAGTATACAGGCTAGACACAAGGAAGAATTTCCTAACTGCAAGAGAAATAAAACAGTGGAACCAGTTGCTAAGAGAGGTTGTGCGCTTTTCCTAACTAGAGGCATTCAAGAAAAAAACAGACAATTATCTGAGTGGGATGGTGCTAGCAGGCATCCTGCACCAGCAAGGGATTGGACTCCATGGCTTCTTGGCCCCTTCCAACCCTACCATTCTATAATTCTATTCAGATAGCAATCTCACATTGGCTTGGCCTCCAAAAAAGATAACACCTTTTTCCTCTTAACACTGAACTAGTAGCAGCACTAATCATTTGGTTGCTAAATACCAAACACCATAATATGAAGGGCATTGCATGGCGTGCCTTAATCACTGTATTCATTATCAGAGGAGCTGGGTAAAGAATGAATAAATGATTGTGAGGGCATTATACTGTTCCATACACTTCTTTTACTAATCACAGGAGCAAAACACAGCAACTGCTTGAACTCTGTCAAATCTAGTTTCTCCATCAATGTATCAACTTTGTATAATTTTGACCAGGTTTTATATCAATACTTCAACTTGATACCAAATAATTTCAGCCAGGTGATTGATTGATTGATTTGATTTGATTTGATTCCTGTACGTAACAAAGTCAAGGCAACTACTTACATCATGAATGGAGTCCAGGAGCTTTGTGAGTTGGTAAAATCGCTGCCAACTTTGCCCAGAATTATTTGGGTGTTTAGTTACCATCTTCCTCAGTTCTTTAATATAATTTGCCCTCATTTCTTCAAATGCAGCTTGGCTCTTGAGGCCATCCTTGGGAACTAAAATGAAAAGAGTACTAAGGAATAATATTCAACTACCTATTATATTTAAAGAATAAACATAATGCCATCCACTAATGATTAGAAAGTTATTTATTTATATCCCACATTTTTTTCCTTCAAGGAATTCTTCTCCTCCTCTCAAGTCTTATCTTCCCAATAACAACCCTGTGGGTTAGGTTTGTCTCAGGGTCTGTTACTGACCCCACAGTTACCCAGTTAGTTCCATAGCTTAACAGGGATTGGAGCCCAGAGCTCCTGGATCCCCAGTCCCACATGCTTAACCACTACATCACACTGGTCCCACCATAGTGTATACTGAGTTTAATGTTGCTTTCACTGTTTTTGTCCACTGTGTAGATATGCAAGTTGCAGAAACCCTTTGAATTTTGCAAGAGTTCTTTATAGGTGAATGAACAGACCAGGCCTAGCTGAAGTACAACACTACTACAGAAGAAAAGTTTTAAAAATCAATTTGTGTGATCAACCATTTGACACAAGAAGACGATATTTCACACAGGTGTGCATGAATGTACACATGAAGGGAGTAGAAAAGACACCAAGGAAACGTTACTGAACTTCCTAACACTACACATTCTTAATACTGGTGGAAGAAAGTAAAATACATATCACAATGTTCAAGATGAATTTAAACTATGTTCTTAGGGATGGGAAAACATTACTAACTACTACTATTATGACATTTGACTTGTGGAGTCAAATCATATTTTTAAACTGGAATGCATTTTTGAGCAGCTGTGTTACAGTGGAATTTTTTCTTTGAGTTTGATGCTGTGCAGAATAAAAGAATGCTTTGAAAGTGGGTATTTTTGCTTAAATGTTCACCAGGGACTATATTTACAGTCCTAGGGTGCATCCGGAAGTTGAAAGCTTCCATGCTACTTTCCTCCGCAGCCAAATACAGCGGCTGCTCTGCCCATGTTTGACATGCAACATTTGCCAGCATCTTGGTCAAAAATGCGTAGACACAGGTTGCTCTTTCCAATCTCTGGGCATCTCCCTCAGCAATCAGGAACCAACTGAATTCCTTGTTCATGCTAACATGCTATATTCTATCAGCCATTTTCATTAACTTATTTCAATATTGTTCTAGGGTTATCCCAGCATATGTGTACTCCACACACTACCACATAGAGATGCAAAGAACATGTTTGTGCTCCAGTCCTGAAAGCTTTTCCTACATGCACAAAAGCCTGGCCATCTAACTAAAGCACAGAGCAGGAAGTATGAAGAGGCATCACCTGTCTCTGCGTTCAGGAGTTTATGAGTCCTGAGGGTACAAATGACAGCACTGTACTCTTACCTAGTCATTTATATATACTGCCCTTCATTATGAAGTAACAGTCTCATATACACAAAAAAGCATTAAAAATAGTGATAAAAATCACAACAATGAAAATCTAATGATCCAGGCATTATAAGCAGTAAATGCCATATGGATAAGTATTCAGCAGGAACCAAAACCCTGCAAAGGACAGACACATGCAGCACGCTGGTGAGGAGAGAATTCCAAAGGAGACACAATAGCTTTTTTACACAGTTTGAATTTGGTCTAAGTTTAAAAAGGCCTCTTAATCTTTAATCCTTTTAGGCATCCTAGAGAAATTACTGTTTGTAGAGTTCCCAGTGACAGCTTGTTGGAAAAGCTATGTAAGCCTGTGACCAGGTCCAGTACAGCTCTTCTTCTATTTTTATGCACAGAGACCACTCTAATGTTTTAAAAAGTCTATAAGTTTAAGTCTCATACACTTTTAGGTCTTAACTATATTGCTTGGGCAATCATTAAGATAGGGTATCAAAGTTTAAAGTTTCAAATCTTATCCACATTGTGCAAAGTATTTCTATTCTGGTGATTGGTTTGCCCATTAGATGACTTTTCAACTTCCTTCTAAATTTATAAGTTCTTCCATTAGAAGCCTTAATTAATTAATTAATTAATTAATTAATTAATTAATTATGCTGCCCCCTTCTCAAAAAGCCTCGGGGCGGCTTTTACCTTCCTGGACAATTACAAACACCGCTTATAAGTTAAGTGTTGGAGTTTCCCAATGTAGGTAGCAATAATGTGATTAAGTATCGGTTTCAATTCAAAATCTGGTATTTTCAAGAGGAAAACAAATTTGGAAAAGACAGCTCACAAAAATAGCATTTGAGGTTAATGTGCATGGATTATATACTTTTAAATGAATAGCAGGGTCTGATATGTATATTTTAAATCCCCCAAGTCCAGACTATCCTGCCAACAGCTTATTTAAAAATAATAATAGCTAAACTCTGCAAGCACACATTGTAAGAAAGGCCTGGGATAACCTAAATTTAAGTGTTTGAGCTGAAACTTCAGTTGCAAAGGATGAGGGAGTGATCTGCATTCCCATGTGTATCTCTGAAGATTATTTATTATTCATTTAATTCCTATGCTGCCCAATAGTCAGAGCTCCCTGGATTGTTAACAAAATAAAAATACAATATAAAAACAATACAATAAAAATACAATATAAAAAACAAGCTGCATTAAAAGCTTGTTGCTGACGGGGACTGGGAGTTGTTCTCATATAACCCCAGTTCTCCGTCAGCTTCACTGGCTCCCGATTGAAGTCCAGACCCAATTCAAGGTGTTGGTTATGACCTATAAAGCCCTCAATGGCTTGGGACCTGGTTATCTAAAGGAACGTTTGCGTCCATATATGCCCTCCCGCCCCTTGAGATAGGCAACAGATGCCCTTCTCCGGGAACCCTCCGGGAATGATGTTAGGAGGGTGAGTACCTGGAGGAGGGCTTTCTCTGCGGTGGCACCCCACCTATGGAATGCGCTCCCCAGAGAGGTCCGCCTGGCACCATCGTTATTTGTTTTTCGGCACCAGGCTAAGACCTTTTTATTTAAAACTTATCTTAATTGTTAATTTATTATGTATTTATAGGATTTTAAATTTTTAGCCGAGATGTTACTGGGCTTTTTAATCTTTATTATATTTAGTATTATTTATATGTTTTTAATTATGTTGTGAGCCGCCCCAAGGCTTTGTTGCGATGGGGGCGGCATAGAAATATTTTAAATAAATAAATAAATAAAATATTATAAAAGACTGTCATACAAACTTTAAAACTGAATTAATGCACATATAAAATTACAATGACCTATATGAATTTATCAAGAGCTAACAAAGCCTACCAACAACTAACTAATGCCTTGCGACAGAGGAGTTGCTAAGGTTGGCACCAGTGGGGCTCAGTGAGGAAGTCAATCCATAACTTGGTGGCCACCACTTAAAAGGCCCTTCTCCTAGATGGGTCCAAGTGTCCAAGATGGTTCAAGGTTATTTAGCTGAGAACTGTTGGCCTTGGATTGCAATGGCATGAACTGCTAACAGCTGGGAAAGTTGAGGCCACTCAACTGCTGGACTGGCATCACTCCACTGCCAGGCCAGGGGGTTGAATCAGCCCTGGCTAGAGAGAATTTTCTGTCTCCTGCTGGGTCTCAATCTGGTGAGAGGTTTCACCCTCTGACCAAATGCTTAAGTCTTCATAGCAGGAGAAGCTACTTTAGCTAAAGTGTAGTTTAGGGTATCTTTATTATTCAGCTTCTGTGGTGCAACAAGGAGTTTGCATACTTGGGATCAGGGCATTGCAACCTGAGGACTTTTAAGAATTCTGCTGCTCTCCACTAGCCCTGTGCCCTTTCCTTCTGCAACCCAGTGCCCTCCCCACTTCGAAAAGCTTTAATAAACTCTTTCCAACCTGATTTAGTGTTTGGTGGGTTGTGGGACCTTGGCTGCAGGGACTGAGTTTGGTCCTTGTGCAGGTGTGGCTGGGCAATGATGGGACAGAGGAGGAGTGTTCCATGGCTTACCATCACACATATATAACATTATGACCATGTTTAAGAAAGTGCAATAGCTATTTCCGTACCCCTCTAGTTTTTAGCTGTGTATGTAAATAACTTAGCAACAGGTGACAGAAAACTACCAATACATGTTTGGAAGAAGTTATTAGACTATCTTTGCTTTTTGGATTTGGAAAAATGGGAAGCACTGGGCAGGAAAAACAAGGAATTACAATCAGCCAGCTGGGAATAGCTGCACTATGTTGCACTCACACAGCTCTAGGAGAAGGGGCAAACATGGACTGCAGCACAGATTTGTTTTCTGTAGTTTCCATGCAGTCTTCAAGTTGTCTGTGGATGACACTTCAACCTTCTGCAAAGGGAATGATTCTATTCCCAGGCTCTCTGTAGGCATTGTTATGCACAAGGCAACTGGTCTAAGGAACTGTTTTTGAGAGCCTACTGCCTGGCCACAGAAAGACAGGTGTTTTTTTTACCTTCCTCAGAATGATGCTCATGTTCGTTTTTGCCTACTGCAATATTATAATTGCACTGTCACAACTGGTACTTGAGGACATGGAGACAAGTACAGAAGAAGTATGCTATCTGTGCCCATTAAGGAAATCTTAATGTTCTCTGGGAACAATCTGTTTTCCTGGGATGGTTTTACTACTAGAAAGCTAGCCATGCCCCATGCAGGCAAAACAATGTTAAAGCTACACAATCAATTTGGCCCTGAACCAATGGAAGGATTGGGATATCTCAACACTTCTTGGAACTTCATCCTCCTTTTCCCTTTCAACCAAGTTTTCTTATGTGATTCTGCTCCAATGAAAGCTCACACATGTTGAACTGCCAAGCCATTGTGCATGTAAGCAATTTTGCTTCCCTCCATCACACAAACTGCTACAATTATCTGGATCCCAAGCCAGAGAAAATAGAATAGTTTGTTTACTTTCTACCAACATCATATATGGAAGTATTCAAAACAGGATAAACTGCTAATCCATGTCAACAATCTTTACAAATACATCTGTGCCCCATTCAAGCCAAAAGGATGTTTTGTACACCAAAGTCCACATCCAAATATCCAGACCTCATATGCTATGACATTTAGGTGTAATTGTTTCAGAATATGCCAATCGATCCAACTGACAGGATGAAACTACGTATGTGGTTTTTAAAAATTCTGCCTTGCTATTTTTTTGTCCCGTTGGTATACAAATGCATGTATAAGAGACCTATAGGTTTCAGGTTTACAATACCAGGCATAAGCTGCTTTTCCATTTTTATAAATATCATTTCCATCTTCTGCAAAATGTCTAGTTGGCACCAAATAAACATGTGAAGTAGTAGTTAATGCTTTTTATAGGCAAATCTGAAAATTATTACACTAACATCAATCAGAATTAAATATATAAAACTGCAATAACCAGAAACACAATTGAAACTTCAGATTTTTGGATGTCTGCCCAGTTGCTTCTCATTCTGATTATTAAATGTGGCAAGACAACTGGCAATCTTCCGTATTCTGTGGGCTGAGGAAAAGGAAGAAAACAACAGAGATGTAATGTGTGGTTTTTCTTCAATGTTAATTGAGAAAAATGTCCTTGATGCAGCTGATACCCAAGCTTCTAATCAATGTCTAGCAGCTGGTCACATGATTAAACAAATAATATTAAAATACAATGCATGGGTGATCTTATTTGGAACAGGGCCTCCATTTGCAAAAGGAATATTCAATATGTTTAAGCTAACTTTCAGTATGATTGCAATCAATCCTTTAACTGTTTGAAAACATTATTTACTTATTTAAAACTGCATATAGCAGTTTTCCCTTGCCTTCCACTCCCACAAACCAATATCAGTTTGCTCTTGGAACATTTCTTAATCAATAATTTCAGATGATGAATTTAATGCTAACAAAAAACCTAGGTTGTCCTTGCTCTTAATCTCTTGGTATTACCACCTGAGAAGCTGATTTATTTTTCAGTTCTATGATGAACTACAGCCCAAATACTTTTAGTTTTTTTAAAAAACACAGTACTCTCCAACCATCTTTCGAGGGCAGTTTTGCAAGAAAGAAGCATCAAGGCAATAAATAACACCAGAATAAAATTTACAATGAAAATAACGGACAAGGGAATACTTAATTCTGACTTTGAACTTTGCTGGAATGGACTCTGGATGAAACAGAGGTGTATCTCCACTTGTAGGAGGCTCATTTCATTTGCATTTCCAGAATGCTCCACAGATATAATTTGACTGCTGGTGGGGTTCCAGAAACAGCTTTCTATAGACAGAATAGGGGCTGTTAGGAATGATGACTGGATTAACCGATAAACTGACCTGTGCTTAATAGCAGCAAAACTTTCATTATGGTATACTCTTCAAAGCTAAGTTGCAAGCGGACAAACTGAAGGCTTATCTGGTGCATCCCCTGGCACAATTCAAACATTGCAGACTGGCGCATCCTCTCTCTGCAGAAGAAAGGAGAAAATAAAGATAAGAATAAAAATGCATTTCATGCAAAACAGCACATTCCTAACAGAGGCCACTGTAGTGGCTTTCACGATTTATCCTGCTTGTGGATTTTGGTCTCCTTGGTACAGGGCACAAGTAAACCTGTTGGGAGTACAAAGCATCAAGGACCTAGCTTACATAAAACAATTAAGACACCACAGGTAACCAGCCAGGGTGGCTGTCATGTTGTCTAAACCTGGCACAGTTCTGCAGGGCTGTTTATCTTTTATGAGAAACCCACTCAGAGAACTTGTGGCTTGTTCTAGAGGTTGTTCAAGTCACAATGGATTGTCCTATCGTATGATCCCAACCAGGTTTCTTGGGATTGGCTACAGAACTACTCAGGGAGAACAACAAACTGTCCCACAGCTCACTTCTGTAATCTCAGTAGTGATTAAGATGATGATGGTCTATTACATTTCTATATTGCCTGTAGCTAAAGCTCTCTGGTCAGTTCACATAATTTAAGTCACCCATCCAAACTGCCCTTCTACCAAGTCAAAATGGCACTTTTGAAGCTCAGTTTGATGTTTTATTTTCTAGCCCCTCAAAAATTGAGGTCATTAAAAAAAAACCCTAAATATTTGCCATTGAAAATTGCACATTTGGCTTTTTCCCCAACATCTTCCCAAGTCTGCAACTATTTCAGAATGGGTAGGTATTAACTCCCATCTCTTTGGAAAAACAGTTACTGCCAGTATGGAATTTCTACTTTGTTATTTCCTAGCCATATATTTGCATATATTTCTGCAGCTTTTTCTTGTTTTCTAGAGCCGTTAGGTAACCACCTAGGAAGAATCATGTCAATTGCCCAGCTCATTTCTTTGTTTGGAAGATTAACCAAAGCTTCAAAAGGATAACATGTTGTACTGACAGAAAAATATCCAAAAGCCATCAGAAAGCCATCTGGCGCCATCAGTATCTTGGGACAGTCCATCTTAATTGATCACAGAAATTCACAGTCAGTGGCTACTAGTCATAATAACTGTAAGCTACTTTCAGGATCAGAGACTTCTGCTTCTGCAAAGTCTGGTATCCTTCTGAATACCAGATGCTGAGAAACAACTGTGTCCACAACATGTGGACTTCCCAGAGTCATCTTACTGGCCACTGAAAGAAAAGATAAGGACTAAATAGCTCTTCTGCTGCGGTTGTACATGTTCCACTGGAAAAATTCGTGTCTGCTACAGTCTGAACATCACATTCCTTGACAGAAACTTTGAAATATAATTTGAAAAGTGGATCTAAAGGTCCCCATTGTTATATCAAAATACATCTTCAATAACATAAAAAGAAAAAAGATGCTTCAGATGAGACAAATAAGCACAATCTGTTTCTCATATAAAGTTGCAGAAATTAAAAGAAATACTGCCTGGAAACAAACAGGATAAGAATCTTGAAGTTATGACTAAAACAAGTCCTAGACTCTCTCTTCTATTCTTCTGGTTGGAAACACAACTCTAGTAATCACTAACATATAGAGAGGCTTGTAAGATGTACTAAGGAATGCAGAAGCATACATTAACTGATACAGTGAACTGAGGCAGCTGTTCCTAAACAGTAGTAAAAGGAAACCAAGAATTATCAGGTTGGATCCAGGATCTGCCTTCATTGAGAAGAAGAGACATGCCACAGAATACTGCAGTATTTTCGGGGGGCTGGACAGGCTAGGGGCTTCATCATAAATCTGGATCTAACCCAATGGCTTTTATAAAAATGGAAGGGGTTCCCATGACACAAATACTTGATAAGTCACTCAAGATTTGTAAACGAATAATGTTAGAGTTTTTCTATGTAGTGAATAATAACTGTTTTTCTGGAAACATAGCAGATCAAGCTCTAGGATAAGTCTGTGTTACAAAATAACGAATCACAAGAATAATTTGCTCTTATAAAGGGCTGTGATAGAATTTAGTTATCACTTCCTAGGCAGAGTACTGAAAACAAAAAAGGAGGGGAAATTAGACATTTTAAGGACAAATGTTCACACTTGCACTTGCTCATCAAGCTCAATAGACTGTATAGTTACCACCCACTCATCCACAGGTCATGTATTTTATTGAAAGTTATCTGCTTCTTTGCATAGATAAAACAACACAGTTCAGTTTCTGCCATTTGGCACTATTTGATTTATCCGTCTGTCACCAACAATCAGGATCAGGCCATATAAAAACTTCTTTTCCTCCAGGAAAAGAAATATACCTAAACTGCTGCTTGCAACAAGGAAAGGCTCTCTGGACAGTCCATCAAATACTTTCTGGAGAAAGGGAGAAAGCAAGCACGTATCTGTTAAAACCAAATAACTGTACAATTCTAATGAAAATCTAAAACTAATGATCAGCTACCAAAAAAGCCTCATCATAGGCCCATATGTTTCTGTCTGGTTGTAAATGGGGCCCCTGAAAAACAACGTTCTCTCAAGACAGATCTGTATCCTTGGGGGAAAAAAATGCTTTGCTGCTTCTCTAAGCAAATACAGATCAAAGTATTACTTTAACTTTGTCCCAAAGGCTTTAAGATGCCAATTCAGACTCTAAGGCAGCGTTCTCCAACCTGCTGCTCTCCAGAGAGGTATTGAGCTACAACTCCCATCATCCCCGGCTAGCATCATTTTATGCCACACCAGCTGAGGGTGACAGAAATTGCAGTTTGACATATCTGGGGGCACCAGATTGGGGAAAACTCCTCTAAGGCACTTGCCCTGCTCTCTCAGGAGGCAAACCATGCTGTTCAAGCTGCAGCATCTTAATAGTCAACAGTCAAGTCTACAAATGATACAATGAAATTATGCTTCACATGGTGCAGAAGTGCAAAGAAACTGCTGTGTGAAAAATAGGCAGGTTTCTTACCTGCAGCTGTCATTTTTCGAGTGGTCCTCTGGTTGTACAATGCTCAGAGAATTGTCCACTGCTATGACCATGTTGAGTTCTTTACTTTTTTTGGGGGGGGGGTCATCTGAGTGCTCCTCAACTGCAAAACTCAGGAATGGGGAATATAAAGATATCCCCCTGTACCACTTTCACAGCAATGCGCTTGACATGCTATGTATGTTTTTCAGTTCTTCGGTTTTTTCTCATTAGTTTTGTGAATGCTGCAAGCTTTATCCCTCTAGTGGGGTAAGTTGCAGGGCCACTGGTCATGGCTCAAGGGTATTGTCACCTATGCAGAGCTGAGACAGAGGCCTACAGCCTTCTCACAGAAGAGTGGAATGGAAAGCGAGTGCACCCGGCACTATAGAACAAAGGAACAAATACAGAGATGGCGCCCAGAACATTCCAAGGTTACAGGTCTGCAGGACCAGGAGTGTTCATTCTAATGTAATCCATTATAAATTGGAGGCCTCCTGAAACACCAAAGCTAGTTAACCTGTCTTGTCTGGGTTTCTATTGTCATGACTGGACACTCTTACATCCAGTTTTTAACTGGAAAAGTATAACTCCGCAAAACAATGAGCCTTTTCATAAACTTATTGAAAAACAGAAACCTGAAAATTAGATGGCAACTGGCAGATAGCTCAAGGAAATAGATACACTTCTTAGTAAAACATAATCACCATAGCTATCATTTATATTCACATTCCTTATTAAAGCAGCAGTGCATAAAATGCCTATCCAAGTTTAAGGACTTTGCTAGTACAGAGCTTCATGAACTGCTTTGGGACTAAATTTTAAAACGGTAAAGAAACCTACAGTAGTTCATGACATACGCCCCCCCCCCACCACACACAAGTTTAAACACGTAACGATGGCACTACTTTAATTTTTCTGACAAACTCTTATTCAAACTTTTTATTACTCAAATAATCCTCAAGACATTGCCTCAGTATTTTGGCCACATAATGATAATGTATTTAATTCCACCTATAAAGTACAACCTTTATTCCACAAAGATGTTCTAGCAGTCTCAGATGCCCTCATGACCCTGATGTTTGATCATCATCATCATCATCATTGCCCTAGCAGCTAAAAAATAGAGCAGTTTAGTTTGGTAGCAGTTTGCTCAGAATTCAGTGGCACATGTGCATAAGGGCTTGAGTTTCTTCTGATTATATTCTGCTGATTATCAGATACTGCTGATTTATACACACCTTGACAAGAATACAGAGTGTAATACTTATAGCATTGCCAGTATCAGCTGCATTTGAAAATACATCACTAAGATCATATGGGTTGCAAGGCCCCTGTTTAGAGATACCTGAGTACAGCAGCAAACTGTTATACCTGCTGATTCAATTGTGTATTCATGCCTTCTGGAGACCAGTGATCAGCACTGGATCCTGAAAGCAGTGGAGAATGGATGGCTACTACACCAAAGACATTCGTGCATGCATTTAGTGCTTCTGTAAGCTTAATAGTGCTTGCACGTTATGACAGGAAGATTCACTTGTGCGGAGGGTCAAGGGGCATCTAAACTGAATCTGGGACTTACTTCCCTCTACCTCTTACAGTAATATAGAAAGTGACAGAATAAAGGAAGGTGGAGGAAGTTCCAGAGGGCTGGAGTAGGACTAATGGTTCTACCTTCAAAAAAGGGCAAAAAGAAGATCCTGGAAATGCCAGACCAATTAGTCTGTCATTGGTCCCTGTGAAAATTTTGGAGCAGATCATAAAGAAGTCAGTCTGTAAGCACCTTGAAGACAATGCAATAATTACTAGAAGCCAGCATGGATTTATCAAGAACAAATCTTTGCTGGACTAATCTGATTTTATTTTTTAATCAGGTAACCTCCTTTGTGGACTGTGGGAGCACTGGGAACATAATATATCTTGACTTCAGCCCATCTTTTGACTAAGTGCCTTATAACATTCTGATCAGCAGGCTAGATAAAGCAACTGTTAGGTTGGGTGGATCCACAGTTGGCTAAAGAAATAGTCTCAAATAATACTTCACAAGGGCACTTTCTCAGACTGGGGAGAGGTAACAAGTGGGGTTCCCTAGTGCTCAGTCCTGAAAACAG